CAGGGTTAGAAAGCTATACCTAGAGTAGGGGGGCGGGAAATAGCAGAGAGAGAGAGTTGGCTTCTCATCACTCTGTGAAGCTTGAACCGGTCAGGGTTCCCAGGTGATAGTGGTAGCGGAGGGTCCAGAGTGCTGGAGACAGGCAGAGCCCCCACCACGATCAGTCAGGAGAGATGAAGTCCCAATGGAACCAATGCAGATTTTGGATCCAGAACACTAACTTGAACATGGGTAGGGGGTTTTGTAGGGAAACAGGGGTTCCAGAGAGAGCACTAGATTTGTTTATGGGTAAACTGATGGCTCAAGGGAGTATACCAATGTTGTTTTGGTCAGGCTAGACAATAGGAACTGATTATTCCTGGCTATGGACGGTGTTCCTTCGAAGGAGCTCACAATGCAATTAGGCAGCTTCAGTATTTTTGATACCAGTAAAGGATTTATTTCTAGAATTGGTCTGATAACTATTGAGCTGGGTGTGTGCAGACGTTGGTTCATTAACATCTGGAGCAGAGATCCCCCATCATGCAGTGCTCCCCTACTTTTCTGGTCCCAGAGTTCAGTGCAGTTCTTGCCTTGGAATCTCTGTTCTCTATTCTGTATGCTAATAGAGATGCCTCCCTGTCCTATCTTCTATGCAGATGAAGCTAGGGGAGTTGTCTTAATCCTGTCATCCTTGTCCAGAAGGGTTTAGGTGTGTCTTTCACTGCCTTTTCATTGTTTTTTTTTTGTAAGTCTCTTTCTTCTGATTGGTTTTGGTTCAAGCAGAGGCTATGGGGGGGAGGAAGGGGGAAGATGTCCTTCATGAGTCAGACAGGCTGGATACTGCCCCCGATTCCACAAGAACACAAAGCTGACAGGTAACATGAGTTTCCATTTTCAGTGTTTTTATAAATAAATTGTATATGTTGTCCTGACTTCCTTGAACTCTTGAATTCAGATTTCTGTGACTGGAGCAGCAGTGGGAATTTAGGCCATCATTTTTGAGTGCCCAATTTGAGACACCTGAAGCCTGTTTTTTCAGAGGTGCTGATGCCTACAGCTCCCATTGGCTTCACTTGGAACTGGGGATGCTCAGCACCCATGAAAATTGGACCCAAGGTGTCTCAGCATTCTTGAGTAATCCAGGCATTAGTGCCTGGTCAGTAGCGCCTTTGTGGAATGGACACGCTTTTTAACCTGGAATGATAGTAAGTATATTCAGGGCTATGGGGAAGCTCATGTGGTGGAGTGGTCTTGTTTTTGCTCAGGCACATGCCTGAGGTTAGATTATGGGAGCATAAAAGAAAAGCGGTGATTAGAAATCACTTTTGCTTCATTGCTTAGTGAGTGGAATTTCATGATCTGTGTTTAGCTGTTAGAACTTGTCTTAGGGTACGTCTTCACTTACCGGAGGGTCCGGCGGCAGGCAATCAATGTTCTGGGATCGATTTATCACGTCTGGTTAAGACGCGATAAATCGATCCCGGATCGATGCCGGAAGTGCTCGCCGTCGACGCCGGTACTCCAGCTCGCCGAGAGGAGTACGCGGCATCGACGGGGGAACCTTCGTGCCGCGTCTGGACCCGCGGTAAGTTCGGACTAAGGTACTTCG